TATATTTCGGTTGCTGTGACTATCGCTTCCTCTCTAAAACCCACGGACTGTCCCTTCCTGCTTGACTCCAGTCACATAGGGCTTGGTGTAAATTGTACCGGACCACACACTGAATCACGTCCTGTGCATTTGTGAAATACTGCTTTGAATTCAGTGTGCATTTACCTGTCCTGAAGCAGGCTGCTAATGGCTCTAAATTCAAGGTCAGAAACATTTTTAATACAAACTCCCTCGTCCTGTGTGTCATTTTTGCTTCCATGAAATATTGTGGCCACTAGGCCCGGTGGATAATAAAAGCATAATTTCCTGTCAGCCACAATAATCTGCTGGATTGAATCCTGAAGTGTCTGCAAAAGCCCCTTTTTTTTTTTAGACTTCATCTATCTGTATGTGCCTCATCATCTGGAACTTTAATACAGGTTGTTTACAAGAGCAATGGGGCAGTACTTTTTCTTTTTTTTTTTTTTTGTTTTTGTTTTTGCTTAATGAGTTAACATATCTGAGAATTGGCCAAGTGCACTTTAAAAAAATTGTGGGGGACAGCAGAGTGCAATCCAGGATGTAATTAGAACTGTCTCTAAAATATGAGTATGAATGAAATGTCAGATTGAAAATATTTTACCCAACAGAAGAGTTTCTTTCTTTATGGATGCATTCCAAAGGCTTCTTTACATGTAAAAAGGCAGAGACAATAAAGTCTTTTCGTTTCACTCTCTGTGTATCTCAGTGCTTTAAGCAGTATCATAAAGTTGACGACTTGGCCAGACATGCAAACTATAGTTAGAAAAATGTAAAAATAAATTGCTTTTCTTGCCCAAGCTTTGCGACCTTCCTCAATTTCTTCTCTTTGTAGAGTGTTGCACAGTTGGTGTACACAGATACTATTAACCCTGATCACAGTAACATAACATTTTGTTGCATCTCAAAAATTCCCATAAAGCTGCTCTCATCTCTTCTAAGAGAACTGTATTAACTCCGCTCATAGCAGAAGTGCACACGTTAAAATTATCTGCTTCTAAATGCCATGGTTGAATCTTACTATTCAAGTGGCAAGACCACATTGAGGGCTGAGTTTGCCTACAGCCTGACAGCACATATGTGGGTGTGAGCACATGAGTTAGCTGGGCAATTTCTTCAATGTCATAGATAACAGTAAATACGAAGTAAAGGAATGGAAGATGATTATGACATCGTGCAAAACCTTACGTGTGCGTTGAAGTCCAGGGAGTCCTGTAGTGTAGAGTAGATGTGCACTCCGCTGAGCGCAATGACGGCAAGTAGTTCCTGTACATGACATTAAAGGGACATTAAAGGGACACAGGGAGGATGTGCCTCTCCGCAGTACCGTGCCTTCCTGCAGGTCATCTTGGGGAAGTATCAGCTGATTGCTCTACTTTCAAATCCTTCATTTCTCACAATGTGATCCTCAAATCAGTACCATAGGTATCATTGGAAAGATGATAAAACATGTAGAATAATCTGAGGCCTCGTGCTAAATTAGAAGAATCAGCATCTACATGATAAGATTTCCAGGTGATTCGTAGGCCTATCAGTGTTTGAGAAGAACCTCTCTGCAGAAGGCGGAGGCTAAGATGGAGTGTTCACTAGGATTCCCAGATGTGTGGCTTCCGTTTTCAGTCGCTTCCACAGTGGGCTAATGATCAAATTTGAAACTTGAAATTAGTCACAGTGCAAGTAGTTATGCCATGGAAATGGGAACATGCTACATATCAGGGGTGTCAGCTTTTTAAGAAAGACTTATTGTATTTTAATCTGAAAGAGTTACTGGAGAAAGAGAGATGGAGAGGTCTTCCATCGACGGGTTCACTCTCTAAATGGCCAGAATAGCTGGAGCTGAGCCCATCTGAAGCCAGCAGGTTCTTCTGGGTCTCCCCCATGAGTGCAAGGGCCTCAAGTCTTCAGCAATGCTCTACTTTTTTGCCATGTCATAAGCCAGAAGCTGGATCAGAAGTAGAGCAACCAGCACAGAAATTGGTGATCGTAAGGGAAGTTCATGCTGCACTCAACACTTGACCTACTATACCATGGTGATTGTTATCTTGAAGTATAAGTGCATATGTGTGTGTAGTCCTTTACAATGGGCTGTTACCTAGGTATTTCCAAAATGTTCACGGCTAAGTCTTAAATTTACAGCTATGCTCCATAATGGAAAATAAGACTGCTTTTTCATTTTAAAATAAGCATTTCAAATCCTGAGCGCATTTGACTCCACTTGGTTCAAGGGTTTGGCAGAGGTTGAGGGGAAGTCTTGGGGCTGTTTTCATCCCTAGAAGCTGTGTTGAGCCAAGCGGGAGGGATGAATGAGGATAGATGGGGTTTCCACTCAGCTGGGTTGAGTCTTCATGCAGCACTGTCACTGACTGCAGGACTGCCTCCAAATCGCATCCTGCTTCCTCTGAAAATTGGGAGAAATTGCCGTGGAATAGTTTTCAGTTGTCTCTAGGCCCTCTCTGTGGGATAGCACATTTTCTTATTCCCAAAGCATTTCAGAAATCATGCATTCTCTTCTTGTCATAAGAACTGGCAGTGAAGAGGACAGTTGGTTTGACATGAATTCTGTAGAGACCATAGCTAGTATGAATTGGGGGGTTAGGAACACGACATAGTGACAAGGAACTGGGTGCTCTTAGGAGTAATGTTTTAGAAACTGTTAGATGCTGATTCTATCAGAGATCCCTCGTCCAAGTTGACTGAAAAACCCTTTTACAAGAGCATTGTAACTGTGAGCCAAATATCCACAAATCAGCCTTGTTTATCTTTCTCAGTCTTTCAAGATTAATATTGTTGCTATTAATTAACCTTTGGTTGTGGAACCAGTTTGAGTGAGAATTAGAATCCAAAGTCCCAATCATGCTAGCCTCGGGGGTCGCTCTTGCCACCATTCCCCGTTCTGCTTCTGTAGGTGTCAGGATCTGGAGTCTGGCACATGTGGTTTCCTAGCGTCCAAGACTGGGTGTGATGGAGCACTTGCGTATTTAAAAAGAACAAGTTTATTTTCCTTGAGAAGTGTTTGGGGTGAGGTTTCAGGGCTAGAACAAGCCTCGCAGTTTGTATAAACGGGTCCAGCTCGTCCTGCCATGGGGAAGATTTTTGCAAAAGAACCTTTATGTGTCCTCTGTACCTTGCCTACTTTTACTGTAGAGCTGATACAACTTTAGTCTTTTTAACAAAGCCCACCCGCAGCCAAGAGCAGGGATGACCACTGAATGCTTTCCATGCTTTACTTACTTTCCATCTAGCTTGGTTTTTGAACCACACTACTACTCTGTAAAGCAGGCATTATTCTTGTCATTTTGCAGAAGATTAAACTGAAGCTCAGACCGTTTGAGTGTCTTATTCCATCATTTCAGACAGCAAGTGAGCTGGGACACAGGCCCAGGTTTTCCTAGAGAAAGCCTACATCATGCTGGACTGTTTGCTCTGATGCAGTGCACTGTTGAAACATACTCTTCCCTTCAATTTCAAAAGCAGCTGCTATTTGCAGTGGCTTCCTGGTGCACTCATAGGGAGCGACCCTTTTGAAATACAAAATGCTTGTATTGGAGCTAAGCATGGGCAGAGTGACACGAAGGGTGATTCCACTGATCATCTCCTTAGATCCATCTCTGTTTGCAGCAGAATGTGGATCTGCCTCTTTCAGGTGCCTTCGCTCAGGCCATGCACCAGCCCACCTGATGTTAATGGTTTTCTTGCTTTCTCATTCTGAGCCGGAATGGAACCAGGGACCTTGAGGTGAAAGGGCCCCTATCCTATTATGAATTCCCTGAGCCAAACTGTTCCTGACGGTGTCTTGAGGAATTATTTTCCCATTTAATCTAATTCAACCAGGCTTCTTTCTGGGATGTGCAGTGAACATTATTTCTTTAAAAAAATATATATATATGTATATTTTTTTTTTCTGAGAGGGGGAAAACACATTTTGCCACATTGAAGGTAAGTAAAAAAATGTATTTGACACTTCAGGTAATGGAGATTTTTTTTTTACCCATCCTTTCCTGAATTTCTTCCAATGAAAATGATATTTTTTATCATATTTCATTCCCAAAGGAGCTTTTTCATAATTTAAGTCTCCAGTTCAGCTGTACATTTGGAGTTGTAGCCCTGACACTGTCCTGATTATAGCATAGCTGCTGGACATTAGACTTTGTCTCTGGAGGAATTCTAATTTTATTCACTCATCATTAGTATCCAAGCATAGAATTGCACTCTGCACCCCATATTAGACAATCCATTCTTATGGATTCTGGCAGCTAAGAATGTAAACATTGGGGAAATACCCCTTCCCATGCTCATTTGCATGTTTGGAAACTCTTTTCCTCAGCAAATGCCAATTTCTTCACAGAATTCAGCATAAAATGGCCTAGAACCTATCTTTTAAGAGGTGAAAAAGAGAGAGGGAGAGAGAGAAGAGATGAGAAGAAAGAAGAGAGAGAGAGCAAGAAGAGAGAGAGAAAAGGAAGGAAGGAAGAAAGAGAAAAGGAAGGAAGGAAGGAAGGACTGGAGAGAAAGAAGGGGACCGAGGAAGGGAGGGAAGGGACAGAATGATTTTGCAGTTGGCCTTAGGGCTACATTTGCATACATCTCAGCTTCATTTACACGCAAAAGCAATATAAGCCAAGAGAGAGAAGGTGCAGGGATGAAGAGAGGGAAGGGTGAAAGTCAAAAGGGAAAAAAAAAAAAGATGCAAGAAAGAGGGATGAAAGCAACCAGGAGGGAAGAGGGAATTTCCGGTACCTGAAGCATTGTTTTTTAAATTTTCTTTAATAAGTAGCATTGCTGTGCCATGAATACTGAAATCTCAAGCTTAAAGATAAAAGGGCTTATTAGCTTTACTCATGCACAGTCTTCAGATCCACTTTCTCACTTCAAGAGCTGGGAAGTACCTACCAACATTCACTTAGGCACTTTAGAAAAGCAGTGGTTTTATTTTAAATCCCGTGTCTGCGTACCCTTATCTTTCTCCCTCCTTGTTTTTGCAGGAAACTTCAATGAGAAGGAAAGCCAATGGATTGTGGTCTTAGCAAAGCTGCTTAGATGATGTCTGTTTCCCGTGCTGGAAACACGTGGCAGAGCTGTAAGTAAATGCTCAGCACTGCATGATGAACTGGATGGCTGCAGACCAGAGGCAAAAAAAATAAGTGTCTCGTTTTGGTGGTGATTTGCCTAACTGGTGGGACCATGCCAGAACGGTTAGTGGGAGTGCTCCTGGATCTCTGGACTCCATTCATAGTATTATGGATTACTCTTCCCCCTTGCGTTTACGCCGCTCCGATGAATCAGTCTCAAGTTTTAATGAGTGGATCTCCTTTGGAACTAAACAGGCTGAGTGAAGAACAGCGGATTTTGAACCGCTCCAAAAGAGGCTGGGTTTGGAATCAAATGTTCGTCCTGGAAGAGTTTTCTGGACCCGAACCGATTCTTGTTGGCCGGGTAAGCTGCTTTTATAAGATCCCAATTTCAAGGTTTATTCGTGGTCTTTAGATCTTTGACATCAGACACCACTCATGGACTGCCACACTTGAAATCTTTTAGGCCAGATGGCTAACTGACTTACCTGTTGGTCTCTTTAGTCATATGAATAAGCCCTCAGAAGCTATTTTAAAAGGTTTTCTCTGGAATGCTTCTTCCTGTTGCAGAAACAATAAAACAATATGGGTGTAATGCATAAACAAAGAAGCTTTTCTCCATTCACATAGAGACAGTTCCATGCCAAACCTTTTCTCTATGTTATAATACTTGGAAGAAAGATGCAATTTTGCTCAGTTTGAATTCCTGCTGCATCAATTACTAGATTCTATTCTGTTTCATTTTAAAGGTCTTGTATCTCCAAGTACTGGTAGATTTTTGTCCTTTTTTTTAATCGCTTTGTTGTTTTAATCATGAACATAGGATTAGAAGGGAAAATTCTTAATTAAATTTCTTAATTTTGCATTGGGCTGTAATTGCTAGAGTTGGTTTCAGAAACCATACATTCAGTGTTAGGTGGAGTCGAATGTATAGAATCGAACTCTAAGCTTAGTGATTGTGTGTGTGTGTGTGTGTGTGTGTGTGTGTGTGTGTGTGTGACTGAATTTCCATTTGTTGCTGATGTTGTTGGCTGGTTAGACAAGTGTTTGAACCAGGCGTGGGCTGCTTGCTGCTCAGAGACACCCTGTGGGTTATTGAACACCGTGTGTGTTCATCCTTCAGAACTGCTGATCAGCTTCTGTTAATTTGTACACTTATTATCTCATCTTTGGTGGAATTTTAATTATTCCCTTCTAATGGCTGATTTTCCTGAGATATATCAGCTACAAAAATGAATCATACACATGTTATTCAGTCCTCCAGTGTAGTGATTTAAAATAAAATTAAGAGGGAGGATTAAATACGGAGTTTCAAGACTCAGGTTCACTCTTAGGTTTTCACTAGTAAGTTCTAAGTATATTACTACTGTTTTACGCTATTGTGTCGCAAAGCAAATTAAGCTTCTCTGTTGTTTGTACAAGAAAGAATAAAGCCTGGGTGCCGAGATACCATGAATTATTGCAAAGATATTTCTAGTGGTTTCTTGTGACAGGCACTTTGTTAGGCACCCGGAGGCCTTCTAGCGACACATATTCTCACCAATACTGAGAGTTTGTTAGATGTTGAACGCTGTTATGGAATAATTTAGAGAACACAAGCCTATTTGTTCCTAACAATAATCTGTCCCCTCTCATGTATTTATGTGTGAATGTAAATGCATGTTTGTTTATGCATATGTGTACACACACACACATATATACAATGCAAATATATACGCATATAAGACAGATTTGCATTCCCCTTTTTTGTAGATCCAAACTGCTAAAATGTCTCGATGCTCTTTTTCTGTGCTTTATACAAACTCAGGCAGCAGAAATGACTGGAGGCTATTTATAGCCGTAATGCATCCTATTACTGTGACTGTTGGTATATTTCACTGTAGAAATGTTAATGTAGTTGATGACAAGGTGCTGGCCCCAGACCCTGCTGAGGGTGTTACCTGCTTGATGCTTTATGTCCCTTCATCTGTTTCTAAAATGTGGGAAGTCTGAATTCTGAACACATCTAGCCCCATGGGCTTTGCATATGGCCTTTTTGATCACACTGTCTTTTCTTGTAATGCAAAAACTGAGTGTTCGACGGATTAATAAGTCAAACTGAGGCCGCAAAGCTAACAAATGATCCACTCGAGTTTGAATCCTGTTGGGAATTTGCAGGGTTGCAGTTTGGTTCATCACATCCTCTTGCGTATTGGCAATTGGTAACTATAATTTGACTTAGGAATTATTGAGTGCAAAATTCCTACCTTCCTGTTTTCTGGATAGTCAGAACTCTTTAACGTGCCTGAAGGCAAGTCTTTTCATAGCCTGGGAGTCTAGAAATACATCTGTGTATATACTTTTAATAGATGGATACTTTCTCCCTGTTTCTCTTAATTACCTCTTTCTGGAGGCTTATCACTCTGATCATGTCTTGTATAATCTACATAACTGAACATACTATACCCAGGAGAAAATTCTATTTTTATCACACTAGCAAAAGTAATTAAAACAGGATTTGTTTTGGACTCAGAGTCTGATGACTGATTTTACCTGCCCTCCTTAAATGAAGTGATAGAGTTGGAGGCCAGAGGCCAGGCAAGGAGCGTCCTCCCTGAGTTCCTGATGCTTGAGGTGACCCTGTTTCTGTGAAGGACAGAAATGTTGATACTAAAATCTAGGATTTTGAAATGGCCATAGTGCTACTGTCTCCTCCTAACAGAATTTGTGAATTAGTATTTTCACTGCTCCCTGCCCTGACCAATTGCCACACAATTATGAAATCAAACTTAAATTTATTTTCTAGAAAAAAAAAACTTCAATTACAAATCATGACACATTTCATGCTAAAGAGAATGGGTTTCAAGTCATGACAAACCAGCCTGTGAGGATCTTGGAGTGTCGTGAGTCTGATACACAGTTCAGAACACCACTTGTGATTTGGGCTTGAGCCACATGTCTGGGAGGACCCATGTCGGAGTGCCCACTGATGCTTTATGATGTTTTATCTCTGGGCGCTCTTCCATCTGACTCCCTAAACTACTGCACCGTAGAGCTTAGCTCCAGGAGTCGGCTGGGACTTAGCAGTTACTTATGAGTGGTGTAGGTGCTCTGTTATTTATTTGAAAGGCTTACAGAGAAAGAGAAGAAGAGACACAAAGACCTGCCGTCTGTTTGTCTAGTCCCTAAATGTGGCCAGGACTGGATCGGACCAAGGCCTGGCGTGTCGTCCAGGTCTCTAACACATACAGGGACCTAAGCGTTCAGGCCGTCCTCTGTTGCTTTCTCAAGCACATTTGGCAGTGATGTGGATGGGAAGTGGGACAGCTGGGACTTAAACCAGCACTTAAATGGGGTGCCAGCATTGCAGTGGGCAGTGTTACCTACTGCTCCACAATGCCCAGCCCCAGTGCTCGCTTTTTAAAGGTCTTTCTCCAAGGCCCTGTTGGGAGCCTGGAACCTAGATGACTGACCTCAAACTCAAACATACAGCCAGTTTTCAGGTGAGGGGATCCTCAAAGTTGCAGGCATGCCCTGTTTTAACCATTATTTATTTTACTACGTTGGTACATAGCTGGATACTAAGGAACTGTGCCATAAAGATGGCCTCTCCTGAGTTTTAAGGGACTGAGCCTTGGGCATAGTTGTTAAACTAACTGCATCCCAATGCCTGGGGTCAATCCAGCTTCCAGCCAATGCAGACTCTGAAGACATCAGTGACAACTCAAGTAGTTTGCTTGGGTAACCTTAGGTTGAATTTCTTGGCTGCAGGCTTCAGCCCTGCCACGTTTCTTGCTGCCTTTCAAATAACTAAGTAAGTAAATAAACTTTCATGAAAAAGCACTATGCAAGCAATATAGATAAGGATATCTAATGTGAAATAAGATTATAATTTCATAATGCCTGGCTCACAGTCATTGTAGTTATAACTTTATTCTTTAACAGTGTGTTTGTACACACGGTTGGAATACTGGATAAACAAACAGGAAATCACTATTTTCGTGAGTGTGAACACAAGTTGGGAGCTTTTGGTAGTCAGCTGTTTGTTATTGTGGAAAAATCCCTGAGGCAGGTCCAGTTTGTAAAGAAAAGAATCGCGTTCAGCTCATGATTTTGATATTCAAGGGTTCTGCTCTGGTATAAATGCTGCTGACAATGTCACATCAGGCTTGATGGCAAAAACTGGAGTGAGTTCAGAAGGAACCCACCACATCACTAGACAGATACCAAGGCAAAAGTCACTTGGAGCCAGGCTCAAGGGTTTTGCAATAGTTTTCTTTCAAGATTTGGCCAGGTAGATCTTGCTTTCTAGGGACCTGTGCAATGGCACAACTGGCTAATCCTCAGCCTGGAAGTGCCAGGATACACTGTGGGTGCTGGTTCATGTCCCAGCTGTTCCACTTCCCATCCAGTTCCCTGCCTGTGGCCTGGGAAAGCAGTAGAGGATGTCCCAAAGCCTTGGGACACTGCACCTGCATGGGAGACCTGGAAGAAGCCCCTGACCCCTGACTTCTGCTCGGTTCTGCTCTAGTCAGTTCAACCATTTAGGGAGTGACCTAGAGGGTGAAATGGCTTTCTCTCTGTTCCTCCTTCTTTCTATATATCTCGTTCTCCAATAAAAATAAATTCTATTTTAAAAATCTGCATGCTAGCAAAAGACAAATCATAGACACTTAAATTTAGAGCATATTAGATAATGTTTATCAAGTAAAAAAAATAAGCCACAGCCAAAGGAGATGATATGTATTGAAGCAGGAATGCAGGAAAGGCCTCTCTCCAAGAATATTACTGTCAACCTCACTGTAATTCAACAGACAATAGAAAGACTTAGGCTGCTTCAGACCAAGGGAGTCCTTCTTCATCTTTATCTCTCTATTGACTTCCCTTAGTTTCCAACCCACCCTACACACTGAACCCCTAAACAAGCTAGGCAAATGAAGGGATTTGCTTTGAGCTCTTCAGTGGTTGGAATGTAGTTTTGTTGTATAAGGGTCCTAATCTTGGAAGCCTTGTCCCCAGGGCAGTGGCATTGGGAGGTGCTGGGATGCATTCAGAGGTTGGGTATAAGAGAAGGTCAATTTCTTAGGAAATCCTTTGTTCTTTACTCTCTATCCCCGGACCTGGAACACTGCCTGACTATAGGAAACATTCAATAAGTATTTTTCTTGTGTAAATAAATAAATAACCCACCCCAACAATGGAGTTTCTAGAACTCATATGAACTCATCTCATGTAAACAGCACTTGAAGTGGACCATGCATTGCTCTCACACCTCTCTTTCTTAGGGCACTTTTATAATCCAGCTGCATGATTTAAGCAATTATTTCTAGATATGAATGTTACAACTCTTTTTTTTTTGAAGCACCAAATAGCACATTATCTTCC